GTTAAAATAAATTTTGTGGAAGTTTGAAAACAAAGTTTTCAGTGTTTTATTGTTACATAAAATGAATTTCCATTAAGTAACGGTTGAATCCATCAATTATTTAAAATAAGTCTCATACATTATTGATATACATTCCTGAAATTGCATGTTTTTGCCATGTTTCCTAGTCTATAAGTTTACAAAGTGAGATTTATTTAATTATTGATATACTCTGCTTACAAAACTCACTGTTTAAGTTTCATATTTTATTTTAGCTACATATTTTAATTAAACATAGAAATTAAACAAAACATCCATATATTAAGAAATGATTTCCATCACCTACATCTTCACATGACTTTAAAAAATACATGACCAATTAACTGACGATTATGTAAAAAATAGTAAATAAATTATAATAAGAAATGTATTACAAGATAACTGTACAATAAAACAATGCGTCTTGATTAGTTGTTTCTATTTTTAATAATGAGCTAAAATTAATCATCATATTTCATCGTTAAGTCCCAATTAAAGATAATGATTGATTGGAAAGATATTGGTACATAATATTCGATACAATTTATTTATTAGTGAATAAATAAAAACAAGCAAAATGTTCCCAGAACTTATATTGTTGTTTGTATTAGAATGGATAATTTTTATATTGTTTTCCAAGCATTATTAAGACCCCACACATAGTGGCTATACACCTGTTGTGTTTGTTGTGTTCTGTATTGTAAAAAGGCTTTCTTCTTTTCTTCACATTTTGTCTTCACTTCCTCTCTAAACCATGGTGTTTTCTTTTTTGATATGTTAGTGTTCGTTACTTTCCTCTCTCCAAGTGATTCTGTTGCTGCGTTAATTATGTTATTTTTGAGTTTTCTCAGCTTTCCTCGACGTTATCGTTTTCTCAAATTTTATTCGCAGCCATCTTCTCTGATATTCTTTTTCTGTATAAGTATTCCGTGGATTCCGTATGTAGTCTTATATTCTTATTTTACATAATACTAGTCTATGGTTGCTACTATACATACCTATACATTTGCTGAGTTAAGACATCTTACGGCCCGTTCACACATGTCTCCGTTTTACTGTTCCGTTTTATCGTGTACGTGTTTTTTTCGTCGATGGCGTATGTAGTGGATGAGCGACTTCACACATAGCACAGTATTCTGTATTCAGTAAAAAATATCGTTCTGTAAAAAATGACATTCTGTTTTGTTATCGAATATTGGATGACGAAACAGTTAAACATATACGGATATGTAGAATTTTAACGGATAGATACTGTGTCCGTGGTGAGCGGTGTGTGCGGAGTGTAGGAAAGGGAGTGATGCGACAGGTTTTGACTTGTATTTTCTATTGTAAATTCATAGAAAACGCGCTCGTGCATTGTGTGTAATAACGTTTATAGTCACAGATCAACCATGTCAACCAAGGAGTGGGAAAAAGTTAATTAGACAAGGAGATATTAATTAGTTTGGTGGAAGATAGGCCAGCCATTATATTTTGGGACAAGACGCTAGATAAATACAAAGACATACTGCAGACAATACTGCAAGTACTGCAGGTTGGCGTGAAATATGCATTATTTCAATGGAGGATTTTGAGACTACAAAACAAAGACAAGAGTTCGGTAAGGTCTGTTTTATTATTTAATTACATTCTAAATAGCTTCATCCTGCCATGGAAATGATCCAGTTTCGGACATGAAATAGTTCACGAATTCTGTTCGAACTAAATTGGCAGTATACGTTATTATCACTGTTTGAGCCCTCCTTGTCTCTTATAATGTTGTGTAGAATAGTATATGCCTTAACAGTCCATACAGCTGTTGTTTTATCGATGTCTAAAGGCCGATGGAATATTCTCCACTTATCAGCTAAGATACCGAAGGCACATTCAACGTATCTCCTAGCTCTAGTGAAACGATAGTTGAATGTTCGCTTATTTTTGTAAAGATGCGTCCCGCCAAACGGCCTTAAACAATTTTCGTGTAATCCGAAACCTTCGTCTCCAATGACCACATAAGGAACTCTCGTTTCTGAGCCTCTTGTTAATGGGCATGGTGCTGGTATTTGTAGACTGCCGTCTAACATCATTTTCCAAAATGTTGTCTCCTTGAATATTGATGAATCACATTCTTTTCCATAAGATCCGACACTGACGTTTACAAAGCGATAGTCGGAATCTACGATCGCTAATAATAGATGGAAAAAATCCTTGTAATTGACACACAGTGAACCGCTATTTAGTGGTTTTTAAGTCGCTCATAGTGTCCTCATATGAGAACATAAAATTCTTCATTTTTTGTATTACTCGAACAGCTGTGGTGACCGTTTACTCATGTTGTCCCCATACAGGCACACAATAAACTTTAACTTTAAACATATATCGATACCTATTTGTGGCTAGAAGTACTACAAAACGGATTTGAAAATGTGAAGTAGAAACCATTGTGGAACTTTCCTCTGACGTTGACAGAATATCAGTTGGTAACTTTAGAGTTTTGTTTTAATATACTGTAACAGTCGTGATATAGGTAGTAAAGAAGTGTACATTTAAGCCCAGATAATTAGACTTGACTAAAGTTATGCTAGTTTAGTTGATTTTGTCTGAAAAGTATTGTGCTCCTATGAGGACAGTGTGAATAAGTGAACTAAATTAGAGGTAAGTTAGTTTTTACGATGGATATTATAAAATAAAAAAATTGCTGTTTTATTCAAGGGCTAGTGTTCAAAATGAGCACCGCTTCAAGAATTGGAACGGAACTTGTCGGATGTTGAATGTTTATCAGATGACGGAGACGAATTGTGGGAAATACAGAGCAATACAGGTTATTTTTATTACTACCGAACTAAACCATACAGAAATCAATAAGGGTTTTTTTGTAGAGCAACTGGATCAAAATGTTAATGAAATTGATGACATTATAGTTAAAGAGGTCGTTAATGAACAAAATGAAGGAACTTATGCTGTTGGAGGTAGTTACCAAGAAGATGAATTTATAAGTTCAATAACCCAAAAGGTGACATCAAATGGCGTACAGGTATTACCTATGTTACACCTACTTTTCCTCATCATCAAGAGGAGGAAATTGAAGTTGTAGAATTGGAGAGCCCATCTACTTTTTTCTTCAAATACTTTACGGACGATTTATTTTCTCGTATGGTGGAATTTACAAATTTATATGCTGTGCAGAATAATAACATCTTTTCACCTACAAATATAGTAGAAATGAAATCGTTCGTTGGTGTTCATATTCTTATGGAAATTTACACTACCCAAGGATTAAATGTTATTGGGAACCTAAACTTGCTGTTCCGCTAGTTTGTGAAAGCATGCCAATAAACCGTTTTTATAAGTTGAGGCAAAACTTGCATTTTGTCAATAATGAAGAGGCGGAACAGAATACTAACGATCGCTTTTGGAAGGTAAGGCCTCTTTACAACACTATAAGAGCTCACCTGCTTTCTCTTCCTTTGGAAGCAAATCTTTCTATTGATGAGCAGATGATTCCTTTCAAAGGAAAGCTGAATGTAAAACAGTATGTCAAGAACAAACCAAAGCCATGGGGATAAAAGTTTTTGCAATCTGTGGAAGCAGTGGCCAGATGTTTGATTTTATATTGTATCAAGGTTCCAAAACAGAGTTTGATCATACTTTGCTAAAGACATTTGGACAGTTCGCTACTGTTGTTGCATAACTTGCCGCAGACTAAACAATTCAAAAATTTTAGGATTTATTTTGATAACTACTTTTCAAGCTACAATCTTCTTCAATACCTGATAAATAAACAGATATATGCAATATGTACAGCACGGTTAGATCGCTTCAAAAATCCACCCTTCAGTGATGACAAAGAAATAAAAAACGAGGCCGTGGATGTTACGAGCAAGTATTAGTGGGATGTGAAGTCATTATGACTAAGTGGTATGACAACAAATCAGTTGTCGTAGCATCCAATTATATGGGCTCTGGTACACCTGACATGTGCGATCGGTGGGATTCAGGTGAGAAAAAATTTATTAAAGTTCAAAGACCCGAAGTAATCAAATATTACAACACATATATGGGCGGTGTTGATAAACTTGATTTTCTAATTGCATTGTACAGGATTTCCATTCGATCTCGTAAATGGACATTGAAAATGTTTAGCCATGCTATTGATTTGGCGTGCTCAAATGCCTGGATTAAGTATACATAATGCGCCGTGTCTCTTGGTGTTCCTAAAAAACACATTTTAGATTTACTACATTTCAGGGCATACGTGGCAGAAACACTTATTTTGGCTAATCAAACTGTTACTAGGAAAAGAGGTCGTCCATCCAATGACTTTGAACAGCCAATTTCCAAAAGAACTAAGGTAGAAGTGCGCCCAGTAAAGGAAGTTCGTCTCGATAATATAGGACATCTACCCAAAGTAACGGAAAAATTTTTCCAGGTGCAAAAAGCCGGGATGTAAAGGAAAGTCAAAGTATACCTGCTGCAAATGTAACATTCATTTGTGCCTGGATAAACAGAAAAATTGTTTTTTTGATTATCACACAACATAATACTATTTGTAATTCACTGCAATAAATTTACTACAAGTTTGAGTTTCTACCATTTTATTTCCTCTTATTCACAATGTCCTCGTATGGGACAACCCCTAACCCGTTTAAGGGTAAACAAAAAATTTTAAAATTACATTTAAAAATCTTAAAAAAAATAAACAAAAATGATACCAACATAATATATTTTTTGTAATACGAAATAAAAAGTCGTGAGCGAAAGGGATTACAAGAGACATGAAAAATCTATAACAAATAAAATTCACCATGCAACATAGTAAAGCGAATAACAATTACAATAATTTTATATACAAAATTATTTCTTCCGCCGTTTTTTTAAAAGAATATGGTTCTTAATGATAAGAGAACTAAAAGTCTCATTATTTTTGTTTTAGTCTTTAAAGTCAATCTTATCTCAAAGCCCTGTCTTTTATATTGCAAAAGTGTTTTTCTTTTAATACTTACTGTTGATTTGAAGGTAGTCTGCCAAATTTCCAAATTTCTCAGAATGGCTTTTAACCTATATGTCAACATATTCACAGTGGTAAACTTTTTTAAATACTCCGGAGGCCGCGGCGAATTATAGTGAAAATTCATAAATTTTCCGTTTTCGTATTCTCTGTACATATTTAATTAAAACCGAGAAAGAAAACGCAAATCAAGAGATCGCGGTTCGGATTTCTATTAGAGAAGATAAACTGAACTGGCGCGTATCCACCTGATTACTGGAAATTTTTAACATTGAACATTGTACGAGTATCTGCACGATATATTCGAAAAATTAGCGATGTGTAAAAAACAGGTGCCTGCTTTTAATGGGGTTTCATTTAATGGTATCATATTAAATGGTATCACACATAGGCGGATTTTCATTGAGGTTAATTCGGTTCAGGCGGCTAGGGTCAATTAATGGTTCTTAGTCATTTCGAACCATTTCGTGAAGGACCAGCGGGTTGAATACGCTAGGTGTGATAATTAGTGCATATAATTGTTAAAATTAGCGATTAAAAACATTATTATTGGTATGCAATATCTGACAATAACAAAATGTCGTTAATAAAACTTACAAAAACTCAATTAAAAGAACTAATTTTGAAGATAGAATTGAATTAGCAGTACCATTAAAAAAACTGAACATTTAGATGATGAAGTGGAGTTGTTTGTTCAAAATATACAAAAATCAACATGGATAAGTACTCTCACTCTAAGATCAAAAGTAAAAGGAAACAATTACCCGAAAGAAATTAAAATGAGAAAAGAAATCTAAGAAGGAAGTAGCAACAATCCAGAGCTGCTCAAGATAAAATCTTAAAAGAGAGATCCAAACAAAAAATAAGAGACTTAGTTCTTACCTGAGGGAGTTAACATTTTTGTTGAAAGCAACCAAAAGGCTCAAAGGACCAATGTTCTCCATCTATTAAACTGGAAGACAGTAGCTCGATTAGAAGCAAGAAGCAAAAGGTAAGGAGATTTGCCACATATTTAGAAGATACATTAAACCGCATGAAGACCAAATTAATGATTAAATATTGCTAGGGCCTAATAATCAGACGGAAGAGAGAATCAGACCAACATCTCCGGGGACAAAGCATCAGGATATGATCTATTCACTCAAGAATTACTAAAAAACCTGCCTTGTAAAAGCCATAGTAAAATTGACCAACATAATCAACGATGCATTTAGATTGAGATGTTCCAATATAATGATACAAAAACCAGGGAAATCGCCAAGTCTCCTCATATAAGCCAATATAACCTATTAGTTATGTCGAAGCTTTTTGAGAAACTCCTGCTAAAAAGAATAAAACCAATCATAAAAGAGAAAAAAGTGATTCCAAATCACTAATTTAGATTTAGGAAATAAACATCCTACTATTGATCAGGCTCATAGAATTACCAACAAAAATGAAAAATATCAGTTAGAAGAAAAAAATGAAATTGAGCATGAAAGTTTAATCTACAAATTTTCAAATTCTTATGTCTAAACAATATACAGAAATAGTCATACATATCTGACAGATAGTTCAGAATTTAGAATTACACATTCAGAATGAACACGTGTACACAGATCTAAAAGAAATCAAAGCAGGAGTCCTTAAGGAAGTGTATTAGGTCTGGTCTATTATACACATACGATACACCTGAACTAGAAAATGATACTATGGTCACCTTTTCAGATGACACTGCTATTCTAGCAGTAGGTGATACAAGCGAAGAAGCAGCAGAAAAACTACAGTTGTCGATAAATAAAATACATAATTGGACTAAAAATGAAAAATCAAACGAACTGAATCTAAATCTATTCACTTAAATTTGACAAATAAAAATCAAAAACATTCTAATAAGAATAAATGATGCCCTAATACCTAATGTATCTTTCCGCAAAATACTTATAAGATATCACACTTAATGCAAGACTTCGCTGGAAAGTCCATATTAAAAAGAGAAGGGAAGAATTAGTTATCCGTTGTAAGAAAATATGTTGGCTGATGGGAAGAAATTCAGTATTGTCCATACATAACAAATAACTGCTATACAAACAAATACTGTGAGATCCCAATGGACGAATGGTTACCAACTTTGAGGCTATTCCAATTCAAGTAATATCAAGTAATAGAAGTGCGCGAAGATACCAACAAAAACGAAACAGATGCTAAGGGTTGCCGAAATGAAAACCCTAAGAACAATAATGGGGAAAACAAGAAGAGACAGAGTGAGTAAATACAAACATTAGAGAGCAGTGCAAAATTCAAGATATTGTAAGATGTGGGAAGGCAGCGCAAGAGGATGTGGTACAAACCAATGTAAGACGAATGGATGAGAATAGACTCCAAAAATTGCCCTAGAAAACAATCCGCCCGGTTCAAGACCCCCCGGAAGACCACCTAAAAGATGGAGGGATAGTTGGCAATCTACCTCCCAAGAAATTAACCAGAGGCAGCTTCAGAATTAAACAGATCGAAAGATCTACAAAAAGTAGAAGAAGAAGAGAAGAAGTAATATCCAGATCAACCAGAGATTCCAGAATTAAGTATTAAGGAACATCGTTGACGCTCCTTGGTATATCAGAAATGTTGACCTCCACAAGGGGACCATCGGGGCATCCAGCTCCTCGATATTACTGTGTTAGACAGAAGAAAGAATAAAAACGAAGAAAACTATTTGAGTTGGTGTATAGGGTTAAGCTCTTAGAATATAAGTATCATTTAGTAGTTTGAGGTCAAAAGAAGTATTGATAATTAGTCAACCTGTGACCAGATTTCACTTTGCTTTAAATACAGTTAAGAGTTTAATTAAAAAAGATACTTATTATAAAGTATTTACCTATTTTATATGATGCTGAATAATCACAGCATAATCCCATATAGCAAGGTATATAGGAGAGAAACGGGAAGAGTGTTACGCTAGGCCCATTTATTGTTGTTGGTGTCGCAATTAGTTGTGCCGTAGAATAGTGTAATTATTGGGAAATATTACATATTGTGTAGGTTAAACCTAAAATGGGATATAAAGAGGAATTTTGTGAGAGAAGACAAATGATGTGCGCAATACTAGGGTTAGGGAATAAAAAATATGAGTATAATTAGATACATGTAAAAAAAAAATCATATTTTTGAGTTATTGTTGGAGTAGTGAATACTGCGGCCTCGGAAACTAAAAGACTTTAGCGAAAAATCGGAAAATATTTTTTCTCTAATTGATTTCTGAAATTCATTACTGTAATTGCATATGCTTAGCTTAAATGATTCACAGTGCCAAATTCTTAGGATTGAATTTAAGGTCCTGATTTCTGTTAAAAAAAAGTTATGTTGAATAATAATTTAAACTAGAAATATATTACAAAATGGCGAAATCTACCGGGAAAACCGAAGATTCTAACCAGATTTTGTGTCTTTTATAAACATCATAAATCCTATTCTAGGAGTCCAAAATACACTCGCGATCATAAAATTCAGTCACCTTGACAATTTCAAGTATCTTGAATATTTTTGCATCTGGTGCAGGTAATAACCCTTGTTTTAGGCTAATGTATTTTTTTTATTTGTCATCAATGTTTGTTTTATAGAAGAAAAAAAAAAACGGGATTTTTTATTATTTTTTATTGTTTTTTATTGAAAAAGCAGGAAACAAACCAAAATATTGATAAAACAGACATACGGAAAAAAAAAAAAATGAAAAATACAGAACGTGGTAAAACATCAGTGGAATTTCTAATGACTAATATCGTGTATTGACTCCTCCTTGCTCTATTAACCTCTTGCAGACGACGGGGCAATCCCTCGATTTTTCTTCGGATTACATGTTGTGGTATGTTATTCTAGTCTCTCACTAACAGATCCTTAAGCTCCTGTGCGTTGTTAGCAGGAGGTGTACGTGTGTTAGATACGTTTTTTCAAATCGTCCCAGAGATGTTCGATGAGATTCAGGTTCGGAGACTTAGCTGCCTTGGTGGGCATAACACTGTTCATTACCAGAATCTACCCTCATACTACTTTCATGCAGTTAGGGACCCATTTTCTAATGAAGGGTTAATTCTGTGCGGAAGTCAGAAGATACACCTTCCCAAGCCATGACCGGAGTCACCACCAAATTGTATTCTTGGAGCAATGCAAGCTTGTAAAAATCGTTCACCGGTCCTCCTTTAAACTCTTACACGTTCATTGGATCCAGTTAGACAGAAACGGGATTTATCTGAAAATAACACTTTGGTCCAAACATTAATTTCCCCAATGCGCGTCGAGCGCAATTCGAGCAAAGTCGAGCAAAAGTAGTTGTGCGACTCATGCATCGGCGAAGTAGCGGTCTGTACCCATTACCCGAGACGATAGTCCAGAAGAAACGAAGTCTTTCTACTGACTGTTACAACGCTAACCTGCAATTTCGTACTTCCTTGTGACGAATTCGATGAATAATCGCAGTTGAGGTCCGGTTTCGTAAAGCCTGAAACACAAGGAAACGGTCATCTCGTGCCGGTGGTCGTTCTGTCTTCGTCCTGGTTGCTAACCCGTCTCCTGAAAGCGTTGAAGTACTCGTTGAAACCGTAGAAAGGCCTTACGCTAACAGTTCTTGCGACTTGCCGATGAGATTGACCGTCTTCACAAGCTCAAAAAATTGCGTGCCGTTTCAATAACGGTCAAAGACATTTTGGCAAAAATAAACAATAATAAACACTAATAATGGTACCAAATAAACACTAATGGTGGCAATAATCAACGTTTGTTTGTTTAGTTTAAACAGAAATTCGAAGACAAATGAGACATTTAAAAACAAGACGTTTCATGGAAATTTTGAGGTTATGTGTCAATATTTTGTGTTTATATATTTGGTAAAATCTTTTATATTTTTATGATGTAGAACAATACCCCAAAAATTTTGGGTCAGTTTCCCTGGAGCATTCTTATCAGGCTATTCCCTTTATAAAAAAATGCAAGCTTTCCAATATGAAAAAATTATTTTTCTTCATTTTTTTTTTAATATATTTATAGAATAAATCTTCTTCTTTCTTAGGCTAAATTTTGATCATATTTTAGATACTACAAATCCCAAAATTCTATGAAATATGGAGGATCTTTCATTTTTAAAAAAGTGATTAACATTTATAAAAAATCGAAAGTTCCGACTTATTTCTAAAATTTTTTTTTTATATTACTAAGTTTCTTACTCTCAATTCTTTCTACGGTTGTACAGATTTTTGGTAAATCGATGTCTTTCTTCTCCTATACGGGGGGATTTTAGGAGGACG